TTTTTTTTTTTTTTTTTTTTTTTTTTTTTTTTTTTTTTGGTACCTACCGGTAGCTCAAGGCTCGGGAGGGTTCAGGTTACTGGTAGGCTGATCCATAAACCTTAACAACTGCTAGGTACTGGTTGTTTAAGTATTTTACTTTTTGTTGTGCAATTATCTCATTGGGTGAAACCCTCCTTCAATGGGTGTCGTTAGACACTCCTCGGGGACGTGATTCCAAGGATTTTGTCTTCGTTCCACCTGTCCTCGGAGATGAAATTGGAAATGAAAATGTGAAAACACTCCGAGAACAAATCCTTGGGCTCCAAGGATTTCCCAGCCAAATCGTTCTCGGCTCCAAAGGACCTCGCGAGGCCCTTTGGGGCCCGAGGATCCGTGTTTCACGGAGAGGAGAGGGCATACACGTAGAGAGATGTTACAACCGAGAATTCGGATCGTGGCGGCACCCTATTGGCTGAAAGCCTGAAGCAAAACTTTTTTTTTTTTTTCCCTTTTTTTTTGTGACATTGCTCCGAGGATGAGTCCTAAAGCGGATGCTCTGAGGATGAGTATAACGAAGACGACAAAAACCCTAAACTTTTCCGAGGATTCATCCTCAGCGCCCAAGGATGCCCCAAGGAGTGTCTAACAACACCCAATCACAGAGTATATGGAGGGTATCAGGATCAGTGCTCACCGAAGTCAAGTTTATTCCAGAAAATGTGGCGGTTATTTTGTTCATTGTTGTTGCAACCACCACCATCAAATCATTTGTGATCTGATGGCTGGGAAGCACTCTGCCGTGATTTCCGGTGAGAGGTCTTTGTTTCTTTTTTTTTTTTGCCTTTTTCTTGTTTTGTCAGCCCATAAATTTGTAATGAACCTGTCAGGCCGCTGCCATTCAGTGTCACACTGGATCGGCCACACTCCTATCCGACTGCCAATGGGATCTCGCCCCAGGGGCTAGGAGCCACTAGCGCTCTATTAGGGGCTCGTTAGACACTCCTCGGGCGAGTAAAATCCCCGAGGAAATCTTCATTCCACCTATCCTCGGGGAAAGAAAACGAAAAAAAAGTGAAAACATTTCCTCGGGCCGTCCTCGGGGAATCCTCGGGCCACAACCATTTTCGGTTTCCCCCAAGGTACCTCCCGAGGTCCTTTGGAGGCGAAGGATCCGCGATAAACGGAGCGGCGAGGGCACCCGTCGTCGGCAATAAATTTTGGTCAGCTGGTCTATTGAAGCTCCTACTGGGCGGCGCACAGACATCATCGGTCTTCAACGTTCGGCCTCCAGGAACCGTACCCCAACGACAATCGTTGGTGGCCTGCCGACTCCTGCGCACGTCGTCCACAACCGTTTTCCCTCACAGTGTGTGGCTCCAAACGGAAAGCGGCCCAACAAACAGAAAATTCGAATATCTGAGGTCGGCGAACTTTCTATTCCCAGCTACACGACGCCAGTCGAACTGTACAGTCTGTCGTTTGCTGCCCTCTTCTCATTGTCGTTTCTTGTCGTCGTGTCGTCGCCGTTTGCTGCAGCCGTACCGGCGTCCTATAGTTACTGCCCTTCCCCACGTGTCGTTCATGGCCGACGTCTTTCGAAGACTACCGCTGGTGTTCTTGGTGTTGGTCTCACTTGTCCTTATCGTTGTCTTCCACATGTGCATCCTCGGTAGGCTGCCCGGACGGACGCGCAAGAGGCGTTCCTCGACGAAGGGCGTCATCATGGAAGGGCGGCAGGCGAAGAACAGGAATCCAGTGGACTGAGTCGCAAGCCACGGGGCGCGCAGCGTCCCGACATGCTCTGCAGTGCCACGGTACGATCTGTCTGCATCCTCGCACTTGCCAGTGTTGCCACCGTATGAACAACCTTTGCCAGACACGTCAGATGAGGAGGAGGAGGAAGCATGGTCACGTACCATGGCACTGGGAAGCGGCTCCACCCAGGAGTGGGCGGGGAGCCAATTGTATGGGAATCGTGAGACGACGTGTCGACAGTCTTTCACTGAACTACTGGAAGACGGCATTCGCGAAAGCGACGACGCAGCCGGCGTGAATCTTTCATTCGGTTTGTGTAGCGGGAGCTCATCGGCCACGACCCGCACTCTCCTCGTCAACCCCCACCCCGACGACAACGAGGGGCAAGCGACAGCAGTCGGCCGATCACCAAAGGCTCCGAGCGGGGAGTGGGTGGCATCACAGAAGACAAGGGAGCGTCTGAGTCTCCAGTCGCATTCGTTGTTAGCACCACGTGCTGCTGCCAGTTGTCCGAAGTGGATGCAGCCATCATCGCCGTTGTCGGGGGGTGGAAGCAAGGGTCGCCGCACGGCTGGCCACATGTCCACGAACGAAGATTTCGCGAGCGCTCCCAGTGAACAGGTCGGGAAGCAGGTGTGGGTGGAACATCAGCAGCGGGTGTGCAGGGAACACGAAGAGTGCATAACGCGGGGGGTCCAGCGACTGCACGTGCAGGAAGGGATGGCAGAGAAGGAGTCGACGGTAGTGGATTGCGACGATTACGCCGCTGCCGCCTCGCACGACGAACAACGGGACGACGAGACGACCAACGTTCATCAAACGGAATGCCGGCGTTGATGAGCAGGTTGTGGAGAATGCACACAACCACAAACTGCTGCGACAACATCTCTATGTTCGTCTTGTGCGATCGCAAGAACAGCCTCCACATCCCCTTTAGTCAATCGAAAACCCTCTCAACTGCCCCCCTCGTGGTCTTCTGCTTATTGTTGAACTGCGTCTCCGACGGGTGATGAGTAGTGGTGCCGTAGGGAACGACTATCCATTCCAACGGTGGGTAACCATTGTCGCCCAGCTGGTAGCCGTTCGTCTCGACGCCAAATGGCAGCATCACAAGCGGTCCCATGAAAAGTTCGCCAGCCTCTACACGCGCCCATAGACTAGACAGGTGAATGATCCTGACGTCGTGGCAGCTCCCAGGATAGCCGACGAAGACGTCCAACACATGTAAGTCCAGATCGATGACGACCTGCGTGATGATCGAGAAACGTCGTTTTCGATCATAGTAGTTTTCGCCAGGGGCGTTTGCCGGCTTATCGATGTAGATATGCATGCAGTCGATGCAGCCATGACAGTTGGGGAACCCCTTGCCAGCGAAAGCACGGAGGACGACCGACTTGCGGACCCCCGCCGGCCACGATATCTTGTCATGGTAGACTGTCAGCAACGCCGCAGTGACGTCCCTCACCGCCACCAAACCGGACGCTCTGTCGATGTTGAAGTTACACGTGTTGCTCTCGTACGTCTCCCCCGACGGCCACTTGTACACGGCGCTGCTCTCGTACGTCTCCCCGACGGCCACTTGTACACGGCGCTGCTCTGTCGATGTCGAAGTTACACGTGCTGCTCTCGTACGTCTCCCTGTAGAATGTTACACGGCGCTGCAGCAACGGCAAGAGAGCTTCTGCAATCTCCCGGAAGACACGTGGCGACATGCGCAGCTTGTCCCGAAAGTATTCCTCTGTCGCGTCGTCGCATTGCCTCAAATCCTCCCACGCCCCACCCATCCTCCTTTTCATCCACCATCTCGGGGTTGCTCTGGGAAGAGCTCCGCAACCCAAGGCGCAGCACATGTGAACAACGACATCACAGATGGCGGAGGTGTCCAATCCAGGGCCTTCTAGTGTTGTGCATTGTGTGACCTTCCTCCTCCTCGTGTGGATCTGCGCTTTCATTCTCCCCACCGTCCTCTCCATCTGACAACGAAATAGGACTGCAGTAACAGTCTTTGCCACTGCTGTCCTCTCCGCCGTCATCAGCTTCCCACCGACGCCAAGGTCGCCGCCGTCCATTGCTCCCAAACGAGCCGCGAGGTCGCATTCTCCCCCGACGTCTTCCTTGCCTGGCCGCACGCAGTACTCACCCCGATGACTGCCGCAATGGCGTGTCCTCCCCCGACGACTGGCGCGATGGCAACTTCTCCCCTGACGACAGTCGATGAAATCTTTCCCCCCACCCCCAAGCGATTGCAGCAATTGCGTCTTCTCCACTGACGTCTTCCTTGCCTGGCCGCACTCAACACCCACGCCGACCCCCCTGACGCGCTGTGGAAGGAGCCAATGTGCTCCACCAGCCGCCGCAGCACCACGACGAACCGCCCTCACCCCAGCGACGTCATTCAAAATTTGAATTTCGAACAGGCACGGCATGCCTAGTTTTTTTTTGGGGGGGGGGCGCCGCGAAGATTCGGATTTTTGTCGCCAATCGAAGTTGGACCACGACCGTACCAGCGGACAACCGCCTATGGACCACCAACCCCACCCCACCCCGCGGTCGCCGATAAGATTATTAAACCACCAGTACTTGGCCCAGCTATTGAAGCCGAGCCTGAATATGCCCTACGCGTCGATTTTTGTCGAGCCTGCAGTGAATGGGAAAAAATACGGGACATTTGTTGCTTCAAGCAGGTGCCGCCCCTTATGCTGGATCTGCTGCCAGTAGATGGAACGTAAACAGGCCGTCGTTTTCTTGTTTCCACTCAGGTGACACCCGAAGCCTCGCCAGGAGTGCAGCTAGTGCGAAAAATCTTCTTCTTCTTCTTCTTCAAAAAAAAAAAGGGGGTGAAAAGGGAAACCAAGCTATGCACTCACATGATGCGTTTTACATCTAGATACATTTGGAAGAGTGTGAACGTTACACTGCCAGGCACTCAATGCTCCTGGTGTCCAACGGGGAGTCAGATCACGAAGTGTCAACGATCTTCTTCAGAAAAAGCAAAAAAAAAAAAAAAGGTGAAAAGGGAAACCAAGCTATGCACTCACGTGTCGCGTTTTCCAGATACATTTGGGGAAGTGTAAACGCTACACTGCCAGGCATTCAATGCTCCCCGTGTCCAACGGGGAGTCAGATCACGAAGTGCCAACGATCTTCTTCAGAAAAAGCAAAAAAAAAAAAAAAAGGTGAAAAGGGAAACCAAACTATGCACTCACGTGTCGCATTTTACATCCAGATACATTTGGGAGAGTGTGGACGTTACACTGCCTGACATTCAATGCTCCCCATGTCCAACGAGGAGTCTGACCACGAGGTTTCAACGATCTGTTTCGAATTTTGTTTTTCTCCTTTTCGTTTTTGTTTTCACCCTCGTTGATTTCAGTGTTCGTGCGTTTCCACATAGCACACCACCAGGACATCATGCAGTCTTTTTGCCCCGTTTCCATGGGGCCACCAGCTCCCTCCCCCATTGCCATGCCAAGCCTTTGCCGAAGCGCGGTGTCGAGCGCATCGGTCCCGCAGGGGGACCCTCCCGGCCGCGTCACTCAGGATTTTGCAGGACTTCATCGTAGAGCGACGGTTCGCGTGCGGGTTCGATTCGGGCGTTGACCGCGCGTACCCCCTATGCTAAGCGAACGAGAAACGCCCTCGGCCTGGCCACCTCTGCGATTGCACACAAAAAGCTTTCGCACATGATCTGGTAGCTCGGCGGGGATACGCCCACCCAAGGGATGGTGACAACTCCCGCGGGTGGAGCTAAAGCAGTGCCTCGCGTGACCCGGAGCGGCAAGCCGTGCTCTACGATGAAGTCCTGCAAAATCCTGAGTGACACGGCCGGGAGGGTCCCCCTGCGGGACCGATGCGCTCGACAGCGGGAAACGCGTAGCGTTAACACTAAGGGCCCGCGGCTGATGTATGAGCCAAGTACTGGTGGTTTAACTGGAGGACGACTGGCCATGGGACCTCTATAGGAATCCTCCTCGGACGTCCATCCCGAGGATAAGTGGAACGGCGGCGGGAAAAATCTCGGAAGCCCCGAAGGAAAACTCCTCGGGCCCCAAGGACACCCCGAGGAGTGTCTAACGAGCCCCTTAAACCGTGTACGTACGATTTTTTATTTTACATGTGACAGAGTTGGATTTGCTACACGCCATCGATGGAGGGGAAATAGTGCAGCATTTTGAGTTCTGAACAGATTCAAAAAAAAGTGAAACAGTTTTGGCTGTGTACCCTATGCACTTTGGGCGCACGCCATGGATGGAGGGGAATATAGTGCAACATTTTTTTCACTTTTTTTCCCAAGAAGGCATTACAGACTATATTAGCCAGGATGATATGAGCATCCCTTGCTAATATAGCTGCTTAGGTCAGCATTTCGAGTTTTGAACAGATTCATAAAAAAACGAAAAAGTTTTGGCTGTGCACCCTACGCACTTTGGGCCTCGTTCCACACCACTTACGAATCCTTACATTGTAAGGGTGCCCTAACCGGACCAGGGTGATTAATTTACCCTAACTTTTTTTTTTCGTTCCACAGCCTGTAAGGAAGACCCTACACTGTCCAGTTGATGTAGCTCAGTGGTTAGACCACCTGTTGGAAATGCGCATTGTGGTATGAGGTTGCGGGTTCAAATCCGCAGCCTCATGCATGGACACCGGCAGGGCGTTAGAATGACACACGGCTGGACACACACCCCTGGGGCTGACACATGGTAAGCTATTACAGACACTGCCTGCGCACCACCCAGGGGACTGTCCATGGTGTTGTATGTTGGGTCCTGGCCTATGAGGGGTTTGCTTGATACAGTTAGCAGTCTAATGAGGATGCAGGTACGGGTTTGTGGTTAGACTGCTCATGTGTGTTGGTTACCTTCGGGTCTGCTTTGGGGGGGGCAAGGACCTTCGGGGTCCCGTTTGGGGGGAGGGTTGGCTTGGGACAAGCTCTGCTGGAGGATATCGGTGGGGAACCTACAGTAGTGGATTGTCTTAAACCACCAGTACTTGGCCCATACATCGGCCGCGGGCCCTTAGCTTTAACGCTACGCAAATTTCGTGGCCTGCGGTCCGTGGATAAATCACATCAACAGCCCATGTCACTTCGTCGACCTCCGAGGGCCGGCGCGCAGGCTCAGCATCGATAGCTGGGCCAAGTACTGGTGGTTTAAACCACCAGTACCTCCCGGTGTCGAAGGCCCGTCCCTGCAACTACCGGTAGGCGTAGCCTACGGCTACCACGCCGAGCCTGCGACTACCGGTAGATGCGTGACAAGGCATTCTACAAACATTTTATTGGACGAAATGAAAATAAAAACAAAAAAAACAACAAAGAAAACTTCATATGTGAAAAACAAAAGGGAAAATTTGCAAAATGCCCCTGAAATTTCCGGTAATTGGCGATTTGCCCTCGGACGGCCGAGGTTTTATGATTTGCCCCTGGGGCCTCTGAACTTTCGTGCAGGCCCCTGTCAGTGAGGGGCCCATCTTTTCGTAATGCACCTACCGGACCTGCCGTCCCATTTCACATGGTGCCTGTCCGATTTGCCCTCCTGCGGGACCTGCATCTTTGCGAGATGCCATTGGACAAGGAGGCGCGAAGATTTTGAATTTGAACGCTCCGCCGCCAAAAAAACAGGGCTGCACTCCCTATCGCCCTTGGCCGACTTCCACGTCCGTGACTTTGACATCTGGCGAAGGTATATGTTCCACCCCGTCTTCCATGTCTCTCTCTCTCTCTCTCTCTCTCTCTCTCTCTCTCTCTCTCTCTCTCTCTCTCTCTCTCTC